CCCGCCTCTATTTCACCCAACTCTGGGGGGGCGGGACCCGCCCGCCTGAGCGACGGCGCCGTCACCAATACGAAGGCTCCGAGGCACGCAGCCCCGAAACGGCCAGCCTATGACAAGAGAGAAATTCACCCAGGGCTCCTCCCCCGGCAGTGCCGACCGCACCCCTCGGGCCACGAGCTTCGCGCGCAGGGCGGCAGCTCAGTTTGTACACAAGTTCTCTGACAGATCGGGCTGACGGAGCCGGGGGCGGAGGGAAGGAGAGCAGCGGATGGAATCTAGGAAGAGGGGGAACGAGGGTGGAGACGCGGAGGGAGATCTCTTCGGAGTGTTCCCTGCCAGGATTAGGAAGAAAAAGAGTATTGCACGTCTTAGGTGTTGTGCAAGGACTCTGAAACTCAGAAGCTGAAACCCATAAGGCAGCTAACTAGGTGGGGGCTCTAAGGCTTTTAGCGGCTGGTTTAATGAGCGTGTATTTTTAAATATACCAAATGTACTTTTCTTCAGCTGAAAACTAGGGGCAGTGTGATAAACAAAATTAAAACAGCTCTTGTCTGTATCTTCAGCAGTGAACGTATCCATGTAGCAAAGCAAACTCGGTGTGCCTTGGATAAAAGGTTTGGTGGCATTTTTCTAAATCCTCGCATACAAGCCCGGCCCCCACCCCACCCCTTCAGTATTTCAACAACTACAAGTTTTCACACTCGATCCACTTCTCATGGGGGGGGGAATCTTGAAGTTTTTAATATTTAAACCGTGTCGATTCCAGCCAAAGCATGGAATCTAATTTAAGCACTAACAACTAGCACAAATGTGTATTTAAATAGACATTACATCTTTGACTTATTTTTTGCTAGCACTGTATGTTCGAGAAAATAGTTTAATTTACAGAAGAGAACAGCACGTTTACCTAATACCGTGACACCTTTTCCTACGAAAAGACAACCAAGGAAGCCAGCAAACACTAGACACGCAGCACCTTTGAAAATTAGGAATCCAAATTTGTAGGAAAGTAACAGGTAAGTATATTACTGTCCGTTTACTATGTTGTTACAATGGGAGGGTGAATTTTTTGCCAGCGATCACCAAAGGAAATCACTTTCCTTAATCCTTAATGTTCTTGTACGTGATTTTATCTGGCTTATTGGGAAGCCAGAACAATAAACTGTAATAAAAATGCCTGTAATATTATTACATAGGTACATATGTTGACAGCATACTATACCATTAGACATTGTAGGGCAGCTTCCTCCCTACTTCACAATGAAACAGCTTTTTAAAAGTTTTTCACAAAAAAGTTCCTTTCAAAGAGTACATCTGCCAAAGGTGTAGACAGGTCTCATGTGCCATGTGTGGATGAGTTAATATGCATATAAAATATTAGATGTGTTTATTTTAGAAAAGGTAAAATCACTTTGTAAACTAGATTTTTTTTTCTCCTTTTCCTTCCCTTCCTGTTCGTACATGATTCATTTTTATAGCTATGATCGCTGCTCTCAGAGAATGGCTGATGACTACTTTCATGTAACCAAAGTATTTATTTCGTAAGTATTTTTGCAAATTTTTTTCTAAGTAAACACTCTCATGCTGTCCATTTTCGTCTTTAAAAAGCAAGCCTAGTTTTCTCTAATATTAAATCCAACCATGTAATTAAACAGCTTAAAAACAGGTTCTAGAATTGGTATGAAGTTTAATATTGCTTTTTCAAAAATTGAACTCTCATATCATTAAAAAGACTTTTAATTCTGATAAGATCACTTGATCGTGAAACATAGAGACTCTTAATAGAATTTTTGTTGTTTCAACTTTAACCTAAACTTCAGCACAACTTGGTGCCTATCTGTATTTTAATTTGCTTTTAAGTTAGTTTGCTTTTAAATAGCTATTTTGGCCTTTCCTCTGTCTTTCTTTGCACCTCAGCTTCAGTTGCCTGTATTTCCACCCAAATTTTTATTGCAATGAGATCCATTTCTTTCCCTGGAAATGCTTCTAAATTTCGCACCAATTTTTGACATGCTTTCATTTACAAAAGATGTGCATTGTAAAAACAAAACAAAACAAAAAAACCCACATGACTATTTGGTAAGCTTTTAATGACATATTTGTATAGACTTGTTAATTGCTTTCACATTTCCATTTTTCCAAAGTGAATATAGATATGAACCTGGCTGCGGTTGGGCCTTCACAGCTAATGCATTTACAATTTTTAAAAATCTAAATATGTTCTCTTTTTTTTTACTCCAATACAGCAGATTTATTTAAATTTCATTTTCTGGCATAAAGACTCATGAAATAGGGCCGCCCCTTTTAAGCAACAGTTTCGCTGAAATACTCAGCTCTGCAATCTCACAGAAAATAACTAGTTTAGTCCAGTACAATTGCATGGAAATTGGAAAGTAATCCTTTTCTGAGATGTTCGCCATGCGGTTCTGGACATATGAAGATCACGTTCAACCAAGATCTGTTGCTCCTCACCCGAATGTTATAACTACAAACCTGCTTCATCGAGTTAGCAAAAGGGGTTAAAACTTGATAAATATTTTTCAAGTGTTCCAGGTTCTGTGTTGGCATGAAGCCAGACAGTGTGAATGGACAGATCCTCAATTACTTTGAACTTTCTAGCTCTTTGCATTCCTTCCTGCTTAGTAGTGCTGTACCATTAGGGAAGGTAGGAGAAAACAAAAAACAAATGTCAGGTTTCAGAAATCAATTAGTGGCCTGGCAGTGGTGTGTGAACTGAGCTGAGCCAAAACAGGGGATTCTGTGGGGAATAAAAATGTCGAGTAGTCAAGTTAGGTAGGAGGCTAAGCAAGCGTAGAAGCAGTGTGCATGCTTAAGTCCTTAGTCACTGGCGACACAGATTTAGTCTTAGAATAAACCCTAAGTGTCACTATCTTTACGGGAATAAATACGCCTGAATGTGTGGGGGCTGAACCGGCATTCAGCCAGGGGGTGGGGGTTGAAGGAGGCAGTGGAAAAAATAGATAAATAGCTTCTGAATGATGAGATGCGGCAAGTATGAGGCAATCACTAGGGCAATGTTCACTCAAGGCTCGGCAAAAGCAACATCGATAGTCACTTGTCAAAAACATCAGGAAGAGCCTGTGAGAAGGAGATCAGGGGTAACATAGCAACTAAATCTCACTCACTTTGACTGGGACAACATCCACACCATGTTTCAATTCCCGACAATAAGAATCAAACTCCCAGGTGACCCTGGGCCAGGAAAAGCCCAAGACTGAGGAGAAATAACTTTTGATGAGGGAGCATACTCTTCTCTGGGGTAAGATGACTTAATTAAAAGTAACTTTTATATTCACTGAGTGTCCAACCTCAGCTAAAATCTGATTCAGTGGGAACAAGATAATTATTGTCTTCTGCAACATTTCACATCTTTAATCCTTTTTTATTTTTCATTAATAAACTATTTGAAGCCACGTATGAAAAAAAAAGTCATTGAGAAAAATCACACAATAGAAGCTTCTATTGAGATTAGTCAGAATTTGAAGCATTTTGATTCAAAAGATTAAGAGATGGGAGAAAATATGCGCTGTTCACTCCTTGTGATGAAAAATATGTAATTAAATATGCAATTGAAATACTTAATTTTACTATATCTCATTTTTTGAATAAACAAAAGATGTCTTAATAAGAAACCAACTCAATTTCTATTTTTGTACTGTCTACTCCTAAATAAATTTTATGTATAATTTTGGATTTAAATGTGTTCTTCATGAACTATTTCATAAAGCTTCCATTATGCACTTATTTCTAAATGCACTGTAATTTATCTAGTCTAATCTTAAAATAATGTACCCCTTAAAAAGTAGAGTTTTACCTTTTGGGAAGACAGAGATTGCTTTTTTCACTTTGTTAAATAAAACGCAGACAAAAATGACATCAATACAAATGCCTTGAATTGACTTGCAGGCCAGTCGTGCAGCAGTTTAAACTGAGCAGTATTTGAACTCTGACTCTGAGCATGATAGGAAAGGTCAAGAGAAAAACCCAGACCGGAAGCTCTCAGAACAGTGGGACAGGCCATCAGCCGCATCACAATGCGCGGTGCTTGAGCCAATCACTGTAGGCTCTCTGACGGAAGCGAGGGCTCCTCCAGGCTGTGGGGCCCAAGCTGCGAACACCCAGGGAACTGTGCAGGGATCCGGGAAACAGCCTGCTAGGCCCTGATTCATACATGAAATGCGTAAAAATAGTGCTAGTACCCATATCGGTTCTTCGTGTCTTGACTCCGTACACTGCTGTTGGTTACATAAACTTACAGAGCTTTTAGGGAAGACAATTTGATAATAAGTATGAAGAAAGGAGATATAAGATAGATAGATAGATAGATCCTTGAAAAAGGTGAGCCGGGTGTGGTGGTGGACACCTGTAATCCAAACACTTGGGAGGCTGAGGCAGGAAGATCACCTCGAGTTCAAATCCGGCCTAGGCTCCAGAGTGAGTTCAAGAACATCCTGAATTACATAACTATCCAGACCCTATCTCAAAATAACCCAAACCAAACCACAGTAAATTGAAAGAAAGTAAAATGATTCTCCTTCTAGGAAACATAAATGTATATTTATATATACAGTTGAAAATAACCTATGTGTTCAGCAATAGGGGAGCAGTTGAACACCTACATACAATAGCCACTATTCTGCTGCCAACAGTTATCTACGAAATACTTGGTGACATCGAAGGAATACTTGTGATGCATGAAGCCAGTGACACAGGGTTTATAAAGATGCGCCCTCAAAAATGAAAATAATACTCAAAACAAGAATATTTTGGTGGCTATCACTTGATGGGCAAATCAGGAGTAGTTTTTCATTTCTTTATACTCTTCAGGCTGGGGATTTAGCTCAGCGGTTTGGTGGCCTGCCTTGCAAGCACAAGGACCCGAGTTCAATCCCTGGTACCAAAAAAAAAAAGAATATACTTCAGTATTATTAAATCTTCTAAAATTGCTATGTAATTCCATTTGTAATCACAATATATATGTATATATCTATATCAAATATATCTACATCTATATTTATATCTGTATCTATTCTGCTCACTGTACTGTGGGTTGGATCCAGGGCCATAGTACTAAGCTATATTGTTGCCTTTTATTTTTTTATTCTGAGACAGGGTCTTGCTAAATTGCCCCAGGCTGGGCTGGAACTTGTGATCCTCTTATCTCAGCCTCCAGAGTGCTGGGATTACAAGCATGTGCCACCACGCTCAGTGCCAGAATAAATATTTTGAATAAAAGCATAAATATTACCTTTTTACTGATAAGAGTTAATTAGAACTGTCAGTGATGATCGAATGATTTCCCATTCAAAACCAGCAAGGGTAGCTACAACTCTCCAACACCTTCTGCTGGAAAAATATATAAACTTAACGGAGCAGCTAGATTTCCAAGATTCACTACAGAAAAAAAGAAGCTGAAGAGAGGTTACAAAGGGTGGGGTTGCAATTAGAAAGGGATAACCTAGGGAATGTTTTGGATTCATTTTGTGCGTGGTCAGCAAGAATTTATGTACAATGATTTTTATTCACTCAATTTCTTTGGGTTTCTTGTTCTATTTGGTCGCTTTCCTTTCTTGGGTTAAACAGTGTTTTGATAAAATGCATAGATGCAGCCAGGCGTGGTGGTACACACCTATAATCCCAGCACTCAGGGATTTGAGGCAGGAGGATCTCTGTGAGTTCGAGACCAGCATGGGCTACACAGTGAGTTCCAGGTGAGTCTCAACTACATAGTGAGGCCCTGTCTCAAAAAAACCAAAAAAAAAAAAAAAAAAA